TCATTTTGCAGTCATGATGTTTATACAGTGATTGACTGGACAGGTTGGATAATACCAAGCTGATTATTAATGAGGTAGCTCACATGGTAACTTGGAACATATAAAGTGGTTCTGCTTATTGTCAAATGTTCAGGTTCCTCTGAGCCCAGTTAGAGATCAAGAACTGTTATTAAAAGACAGAATGTTTGTCAGAAGAAGATGATAGAGCATTGTTCCAAAATCCTTAAGGTCTCTTCTGTGATTAACCTATATAGTTCTTCTAAGACCTCTAAACAGCATCTTTATCCACCACTGAACCCTCATGTACTATTAGGTTTAATGGATCATATTTTACAAGTGGTAGAGCAGCCCACACAGTAGCCTGGACCTGTTAAAGAGCCATCCTCTATTGTGGTAAATAAGGATCAGGATAAACAAATAGGCCGAATAGATGTTTATTCAGGGAGAAATAACTTACAACCTAGACAGATGAACACCAGGAAATTCAACCCGATCCTCTCCTGTCCGAGTCACGCCAGAAAGAGAGAGCGCCTTCCTGGCCCCCTCCGACCTCCTTCCTCAGGTCACCTCCGCCCATCGCTCCACCCCCCAATGGGCGTGGTCAATGTTACAGAAGGACTATCTCACTACAATCCTCTTTTTCATATCCCGTACAAAGCTAGCAGCATTCCATCTTGCTTGCTTATATAGACTGGATTAACATACACAAGTAAGTGTTGTGCTATCTCTAAGAAGAAATAGTCCCACTAAACCTTAGGCTACTTTCTTGGTGGTATGTGTGACTACCTTTGAAGGAATATCTGTGCATGCTCCAAAACACTGGATTCTGAGAATTCCATTGAGGAATTAGGATTGTATTTAATTTCCATTCTCTGTAAAGCATTTCTGCTACCACAAATTACTGCTAATTACTTCTCACTTGTTCCAAACAGCATATGTTGTCAATATAGTGAAGCAAATTCATTTCCAAGTCAAAACCCAGGGTTAAAGATTGAATATATCTTTGAACTACAATTTGGAGAGGTATACTGTTGGCCTTGCCAACTGAAATAAAATTCCCTCTGGTAGTCCCAATTCTAGTACCAATGTCTGTATTAGTCAGGGTTTCCTAGTATAACAAATTACACAGAATAAATATCTTTCTAATTTAGAATGACTTATGGACTTGGTTCCAGCTCATCCCACTGCCTATGAGAAGAAAGTAATGGAATCGAGTAATGGTTAACTTCAGGAGGCTGTATACCTCAGCTTATTTTGGAATATACAAGGATACTGAAGAACAAGGCTATAAAGCCAGTGAAGCAATGTCCTTGCAAGTGATGCAAGAGGAAGCATGCTTTAAGCATGCCATAATGGGCCATAATTGTAGAAGCATGGGAGACAGAGGAGCTAAGAGTTATTGGCACTGTCATGGGGTCACTCAAGTTGTTGTAGAGGAGAATTTTACTATATAGTCTAGATATTATTCTTGTGATGTGAAGAATGTGGCTGCCTTTAGCCTTTGTCCAAATATTCTACCTGATGCTAAAGTGAAGAGTTTTGTATTAAATTCATTGGCAGAGGAAATCTCAAACCAGACTAGAATAGACTCTGTAGTATGGTTACTTGTATTTATCCTTCTAAAAGTTTATAATGGAAAGAGGCAACCTGAACAGGGTAAATTTCAGAATACAAATTTTTGAGGAGAAAATGAGAACCAGGGCATGGAATGGGCCTAAGTCCCGTGTTCAAGAGATAAATTGATTAAGAAATGGGATATAGCAAGTGGTACCTTTGGGTAAGATCCTAGTCAGTTATGTTTCCAACCTTTGAAAAGAACCAAAGAAAAACTAAGAGCTGTGTGGTGGAACACACCTTATTACTAACATTGAGAAGGCTTTACATCTAATGGTACAGAAAAAAATAAAAAATCTTTTATATTCACTATGTTGACTACACTGTAATTTCACAAACTTAATTGAAACTGCACGACATGAAATCTATGTTTAATCACTCCATTCATGTCTCATATTGGCGATAGGTGTCTACTTTTCCCTAACTTTGTCAAATTTGTAATACCAGCCTAGTAACATTGAAGGCAATATTTTCTCAATTCTTCTGCATTTATCTTCTGAAGTTACCAATGTGATAGCTATTCTTATTTATCAACTTATCCGCATATGAGATTATTGAAAATACAAACATGAAGAGGCAACCACTTATGGATATATTATGTAATTTAAAGTGAGAAGATCCAGTTATATCACAGCTTGTTGGGACAACCTCCAGCATACAGGGCTCAAAGCTCTACTTCATATGAAATTATAGGGCACTGAGACTACTACAGGAACCTAGGAGGACAATGTCTAACAAAGAGGCTTATTTGATTTGGGGGTCACCATGTTATTTTCTGTGATATAGAAAATCAAACTGAACAGAAAGCACAGGGTCCCATTGTGTCACCTGTAAAGGACAGCAATGCCAGACAAAGAATTTTGAGGTCAAAGTATAAGCAAACAGAAATAGATAGAGACATCAGAAAGAAATACCAAACTCTACTGAATATTTTCTTTCAATGGGGCAGTATTTCATGTGTTTGTGAAGATATTCTTATAAAATATATCTAAATATTTCAATTGAGTAAAGTAAAAATAAATTGTTTGGGTGAAAGGTGTAGGGCATGGGTCTTCCACAGGTGGGTTGTGGCAGTAATATCTGTACTACTTGATACTGGGTAAGGTATTTTGCCAATAGCTTGTGATCCTACAATGCACATTCACACTTTTTCAGAGGGGATACGTAATGAGATAGTCACAGGTATAAGAGAGGTCTCAATGTAAGAAAGGCCATGATAAGAGGGGATGAATAACTGGCTAACCTCAAATGTTCTTGAAAGCTGTGAGGTGTCTACCAACTGTCCCATTGTTTTGTTGTTGAGTGGTCGTATAGACACTATTTTGCACTTCCACCTGGGAAAGTTGAATCCAAAGACCAGTTGCTATGAAAGATTTTCTGTGAGACACTCGTCTCTTGAAAGATGATGGGGACCCCTAATTGCCTTACACAATAAGTTCAGCATAGATTCAGCTCTTAAAAGTTAATTTCCTCTTGAATGAGGTTTTATTTTCCACATCTCAGGAAATTAAGATATAGCAAGTGAAAGATGAGACATTCTTTCTCTTGTTGGGAATGATTGAAGCCTTGAATGGTGGTTTCACTTTCCCTGAAGTAAATATTTATGGGAATATGATATATAGACTCCAAGCATTCAGGGTTGAATTCCCCTTCATCATTACACATTCACTGTTCAGGAAAATGGGCTTAAAACAGCTTCCTACTAATTTCCTGCTTATGGAAGGGATTTGACTCTGCTGTTTCCATGACTAGACAGAGAGGGCTCAGTATTTTTGCTCCAAGCTGCTGGTAGAGGAAAACTAGGGTAAGACAGAGAAGGCATATATGTAGGAATTTGCTTCTATTCAGAAACATTAAAATTTTCTCATATAAAAACATGGTCACATAAAAAACACTTTAAATAAAATGCTTCCATATTTGATTGTATTTTGATGTAGTGAGAATCCATTTGTGATTTGCCCACAGCTTCAAAATTAAGTGTTCACATAATATCTTGTGTTATACCTCAATAGAGATGAGCTTAACCAGCTGTCACCTATTTCTCCCACAGAGTCACATCAGTCCAGAACACATGGGTTTCATTGCTAAGCACTGAACCATACTCCTGGAATCCAGTTATAGAGAGGGAGGAAGGATGAGCAAAAAAGTCAAGACAATGCGGGAGAAACCTACAGAAACACCTGACCTAACCTTGTTAGAGCACAGGGACCCACAGATGGAGAATCAGCAAGGGACCAAAAAAAGGCCTCAATGTGTAGCAGTTAGGAGCCCTGGGCAGTCTGTGGGACCTCTAACAGTAGAACCAGTATTTATCCCTAGTGCACAAATAGACTTTGGGAGACCATTTCCTATGGAGGCATACTATTTCAGTCCAGATACATAGAGGTAGGCCTAGACCCTTCCCTAAATGAATTGATAGACTTTGATGATAACCCATGGAAGGCTTCACTATCCTTGGGGAGTGGGTGGGAGAGGCTTGGTGGTGGTAAAGGGCATGGGAGGATGGAAAGGAGAAGGAACAGAGTATTGATATGTATAATGATTGTTTCTAAATATAAGTAAATAAATTAATAATAACATTGAAAAAGTAAAAGAATATCTGGGTTTGTGTAGGCTTTGAAAGGCTATGGAATATTTCATCCTTTGTTGGATTCTTGTTGGGTTTTTTACTACTAAATAACACATATAAATGCATATGTGTAGAAATAAATACATACTTTTGGAACTTGCTTCTTACAGGTACTTAAAATTCCCTGATACAAATATAACCTATGCCTCAGCACTTAAGAATTCATTCAGAATCTGGGCAGAGAATTAGGCCACTCCTATTAGGTAACATGTGCTCTTAGGGTAGTTCACCAATATTCTTTGTGTCATGGCACATACTTTAATGTTTGAAACTGTCTTCATGGCAGCAGTTTGCTATCAGCAATGACTTTTCCCTGTCCCTCTGCTAATGACCACTGTGTCAACTTCACTGACTTCCAGTCCCATTCACTACTTTTTCACATGTGAATTTTTGATATTATAACAGCAGGCCTTGTCCTGATTTGCATATGTATATTTGAACAGGAAATAGCCACTTTCCAATCCCACCACTCTACATATACTGAGATTGAAGCCACTTAAGAGTGCTGGTAAGACTTTTTATTGAGCAATGAATGAGAAAGTATAAGTGTGCATTAGAATAGACCATTTGCAGAGGAAAGATAAAAGAACAAGTGGCTGCATCTGGGGTGTAAGATCCTACCCCCAGAAGCCTACTCTACTATGATACTTGATACAGGTAATTTGAGATACACCTAGAAGGCAAGATAATCTATGAGAGTAATGAGGCACTGCCACAAAGGACTGCAATCTGCATAGTACTGTTAGGCAGGAAATTCTTATCTGGTACAGGTTAAAGTTTCCATTGATGGATGGGTCTCATCAGATGCGACATAAACCAAGAAAATGCAGAGTTTTCTCTGGAAAAGTAAAGAGAGGAGGCTAATCAGTACTGTTTACCACTAAGGGGAACATTTGCAGCCAAAAGTGTCAGGGTGGAACTTGAATGATGCAGAGAAGACATAACACAAAACTTCTGCCATGTCCAATGACACTCAGCCTGAATCAGCAATGTCTGCTGATCTACAACCCAATACTTTTTATCTAGAACAAGGCATATGTGTACATCTTAGTTTCACAGTATGTCATATCTCTATGTCCAAATGTCCCTTTAAGGAGTAGCTCATGACTCATGCAAGGAGTTTAGAGGTCAGGAAATGGGGACAGATTCAATAAGCTGCAACACCACTTTACATGATGAATTTGTGGCTTAGTGATGAGGATTTGCAGAGTCATACAGAACCACTCTATCTCAAGAAAATTTTGGTTACAGGAAATCTTGGCATTTGGGTGCAAGAGGAAGCACTGTAGGGCTACCTTTATTTTGGGGTGATTTGGACAGGAGTTTAATTTGGGATCGTGTAGAGTTTCTCCCATCAAGGACAACTGAGGTTCTTTACTCTTGTTCAGCAGGCAGCACACCCAAATGATTTGGGCATCTTCTCAGCATTCCTAATTCACATTTCAACCAAAGGAGAATATATATATTCTCCAGTAACAATTCCCTTTCCACACATAAAAATATTTTTATTATTCCAAACACTGCTGTGTAACATATGTACCTTACCTCCTTACCAACTTGTTATAGCATTAACATAAATAACTATCCCATAACTCAGATTACAAATACACATGTATATGCCTCCCACATTTGTTTTATGTTTCATATACCTGCATATGATTGTATATGCACTTTCACAAACTAACATCATTGTAAACTCTCCAAACTGCATAATGTTCCAGGATATATGACAGGTCCATACCTCTTGCTGAACAGCCTGCTCAAATAAGGGGCAGTTGGTCAGGTCAGACTCGTCCTTCATACAGATGGTTTGTCCTAGGATCACTTCAAAGTAGAATATTGTTCCTTCCCGTTGCTATATAGAAAATATGAGGATTCATTTTGAACACTAGCTGTTTTAGATATTATCTAACATGTACTTTCACAAATTACAGGCTTATACACCCTTCTGAGTGCACAATAATGACAGGATATTTGCCATGGCTATATCACTTGCAGACTAGCCTGCTCATTGAAGGGACAGTTGGCAATGTCAACCTGGGGCTTCAACATATGTTTCAGCCTGGAATCATATCAAAAAGAATATTTGTCAAATATAAACTTATAAAAAGAAGATGATTATTCACATTCAACACCAGGCTGACCATCACATGCAGACCTTTTACATTGCTGAGTCAGAGGATTTGGTTTGGAATCATGCATTCAATCATTCACAATCTGCCACTAATACCACCCATACATACCCAAGACACTCCTTCAATTGGGACACTTGCATCTTGTTCCAATATGTTACATTCCTCTGTAGAAGCTCTGTAAGTGCTTCATCTTTCCTAATAAATAAGACAGGATTCAGAAGGCATAACATTCTAAGAACTTGGGAAGAACAGATATTTAGAAGGAGTCAGTCAGGATGGAGGCAAAAAATAGTTCTCTCTTCATGCATGCTGGGATACTTGGAATACAAGTGATAAGGAGATATGACACAGTTTCAGTCTAAGCTGAAGTGCAGAGGTCAGTAAGAATTAACCCTGGTACATTCAGAGAAGTGTGGGAGCTCATGACTGAAGTCTATATCTATATCTAGATTCTATTCATAAAATAAAATCTATTCCTTCCTTTCAACCAGAATTGTTGCTTTGTGGATAAGAGTCAATGGGAAGATTCAGTAAAAAAAAAGTTTCAATACAAAATGGTACAATCATGTGTACTATTATATTGAAAAAAATACCAAAAAAACTCCCTATATCTTAAAATAATGCTGTTAATGCTTATCTTAGGATTCATAAGTTTCCCATTACACACACATACATCTCTCTCTTTCTCTCTCTCTCTCTCTCTCTCTCTCTCTCTCTCTCACACACACACACACACACACACACACACACACACACCTTGGTCTAGCAGCTCACTTCAAATCTAGCAACATGAAAGACTCTCTCCACACTGAAAATGCCTGCTGTCTACATGCTCTTAACTGGAGAATGTCTCTAGGCCCAGAGGACTGACATTATTTGAAAGATGTCTCTAAGCCGGGATGCCAGGTTTAACTCTAGCATGACCTTTGGCATAGTCCCCCTGCTAGAAGATTTGCCCCAGCTGCACATATGGTAACCAAGATTTGCATTAACAAGGGCTTTGCTACAGAACCCTACTTCCACATAGGGAAGCTATTTAAACAGAAGCTAAGATCATCAGGAGAATTGGTCATCTTTATGGGGAAGACTCAGGTGGGAATCTAAGTAGTCATCTCTATTCAAACTAAAGAAACCCTCAAATCAAATAGACTTCTATTTAGTCTATGTAGTCATTTGTTACAATTTATGGAGCACATGTTCTAAGACATGTGTCCTTATTGGATTTCACTTGTATTCACCATCACAGTAATTCATATATTAATTATCTGGATAATAAATAAACTGTATTATATGAGAGGATCACCATGTTCATGGCACTAGTCTTATAGCCAGAGCCTATTGGGAATTATACAACACCAAGGTCTATAAAAGTAAGCCAAGGCAGCTCAGAGAACAGTAGGCAATTATGAAAAGAAGCCACTCTGTGAGTTGCCAGAAGATTACTAACAAAATTCAGTGACTCTGTTTATCATTTAACTGAATGTGACAGCTGATTCCTGATTTAACTTAATAAAATCTTAGGTATGTATAAAACTGCCTTTTAAAATCTGGTAGAAAATTACACTAAACACTTTACATTAAAACATTTATAAATCACTTACCTATATATGTAAAGCCTTGAAAGAAAAGGTAAGCTGGAGACAATCCAGTAAAATATAATAGATAAGGGAGTCATGATGGATTGACATTGACTATCCCTTTTTATGGTCATTTAGTTATATGTTGACACTGACTCAAGATTTCTGAAGGGTGATGACAGGATGATCATCCTATTGAGGACCATGATTTGTACTAACTTTTAGGATGTGGTTGGGGAGTTAAAAAATGAATGCAAATACCCCTACATACATCATATCTCCAAGGTTTATAATAGCCTAATAGATGGTATTTGAATTGGGGAAATTCCTTCTACAAGAGCTTCCAAAAAAACAACAAATGGCTAATGTATACTGCCATTTTAGCAAAATCAGATCAGAAGTTGGAAAAAAAAGTAAGCTATATTTGGGAGTAGAGCAGCAGCAAGGAGTCAATTATGGACTTAGGAAACATGTATGGCCCTGTAAGTGACAAATTCCAGCTCCCACACGTCAAGGGTCACATACCAATTTATAGACACTGAGTACTTCCACAACACGGCTGAGATTCAAGTCACTGCTGATTTCATTGTACTTGCTGACAGCATAATCCAGTGCTTCTTGGGTCATCACTTTGTTCATTCTGTGTTTCTGCATAGTAGGAAATAATGTTTCAAAAATATCACTCTGGCTCAGATTCGGAGGCACCACGAGAATGATCAGCAGGAGTAGTGGAGCATGGGGCAGATAGGCCATACTTTATCTAGACTTGGAACTGGACCCAAGACTTGATCTGTAGCAGAAGTGAGTCTGGATCAGACAGTGAGTACAATCTGGAAATGAGCTGCTCTTTTATTCTGAACTCTTTGCCTGTATAGGTACCTTGCCAATGTCCCATGCTCTTTCACATTGATCCTACATTTCCTGCTCCTCCTCCTATAGTTTATCTATCATTGCTACAACTATTTTTCAGATATGGCTCCTTTCCAGTCCCTTCCTGGTCCACACCAGTAGCATCTTCTTCTCTCCCTCTTTATCACCTCTGTATTGCATCTCATTCTCATTTACCCATATAAAATCCAATTTTTCTATTCTCTCATAGTTTGTCCATTCTGTGTATACAAGGTACTACAATACTCTGGCCTTAAAATTCCCATAACCTCCAAGATTAACTCATATTTTCACTGAAAATTATTGTTGTTTTTGTGGTCCTGTGAATACAGATTCATCCAGGGTCACAGTCCACATGGAAGGATGGCATTACAGGAGATCCAGAACATTCATTTCTGCTCTTTTTCTCAGTAACTTTTCTTTGGCATAATTTCTGAAATAATTTCTAATATGTTCAGTATTGTTTTCTTTCCATGACTCATTAACAAGAGTTATTACACTCAGAAGAGGAAAAGATCTTGAAAGTTGATGCATGGCTCACTCTTTGTCTTTCTTAGTAGCATTATGAAAATAGAGATCAGAACCTTCTGTCCAAATATGTGTGTATAGTTCATATTTGATGAATGAGATATGAAAACAAAGCATCAGAAATATAGAAGTGGCTCAGTAATGAAGAGCAGTTGATGATTTTTGTCAGAATGGAGTTCGGGTCCTGATATCCAAACTAAGCAATTGACTAACTTTGAAGTGTCCAGCAAATAGTAACCAATGCTTCTGACATTGGTTGACATTGTAAGTATGAAATTCTTACCTGTATGTATCTTGTATATTTAACCTACACTAGAGCAGAGACTTGCTCTGGTACTTCTGTCAACTTTTTCTCCCATAAATGCACATCAGCCCAGGACAAATGTGTGTAGGTCCTGGTAATTTCTGGATTATGTCACCCTTTGTAGAATTCTGAGTGTTGCTTTACAAATGACTAACACATATACATGCACATCCACCAAAATAAACACATGTTCTCCATCTCTTCTTCATACCAGTTCTTAAACATGTTTCTTTTCTTTTTTATTTATTTATTTATTTATTTTATTATTTTACATGTCAATCACAGTTCCCTCTCCCTCCCTCCCTCCCTCACTCACTCACTCATTTTTACCCTCTCTGCCCTCTCACATGCACCCTAACCACCCTCCCCTCCTATCCCACCAAACCAACTCCACATGTAGGGCAATGCCATCCAGTTGGGGTCATGTAGATCTGACAGTTCATTTGAAGTAGGGACTAGGACTTCTCTCCTGTCTCTAGGTTAACGCAGTTATCCCTCCATGGGGGATGTGTTAGCAAGGTCCTTTTGTGCAACAGGGATACATCCTGGTTCCACTATCTGAGGTCCCTTAGACTGCTCAGTCCTTCTGGCTGAGACCCATATTCAGGGGGGCCTGAGTCAGTCCCATGCTGGCTTCCCAGCTATCAGTCTGGGGGCCCGTTAGCTCCTCCTTGTTCAGGTAAGCTGTCTCTATGTGTTTCTGCAGCATGGTCTTGTCCTCTCCATCTGCATCTGGCTTCTAGTTCAACTCAGTGTTTATGTATGGGTGTTTGCTTCTGTTTCCAACAGGTATCAGATGAGAGATCCATGGATAAGGTAGTTGTTGATCTCACTATCCAGGAAGGGTATTTATGGTAGCCTTTCCATGGAAGCTGATATTGTTAGTTGGCGGCAGTCTTGTAGGTCTCTTAAATTTTATCTTCAAACCAATAATAGCTCCTGATTTTATGTTCTCTCTCTCTCTTTCTCACTCTCTCTCTCTCTCTCTCTCTCTCTCTGTGTGTGTGTGTGTGTGTGTGTGTGTGTCTCCCTCTCTCTTGTCTTCTATTCCCACCCTGACTCAATCTTCCTAGTCACAAGTCTTTTCCTCTCCTCCCCCTCACTTTCTCCTACTTTTCTCCATTCACTGCCCCCCAACTTCCCCTATGCTCTGATGGACTTGTCCCTTCCAGCTTCTGTGGGGGACTTTATACAAATCTCTTAGATACACCTTGAATCCTAGTTCCTCTGGTGGTGTGAATTATAGGCTGGTGATCCTTTGATCTAGGTCTAAAATCCATATATGAGTGAGTACATACTGTGTCCCTCTTTTATGATTGGGTTACCTCATTCAGGATGGTTTCTTCAAGTGCCATTCACTTGCCTGCAAATTTCAAGATTCCATTATTTTTTCTGCAGAGTAGTATTCCATTGTGTAGATGTGCCACATCTTCATTATCCATTCTTCAATTGAGGGGCATCTAGGTTGCTTCCAATTCCTTGCTATTACAAATAGTGCTGCTATGAACATAGTTGAACAGATGTCTTTGTAAAGGGTTGGGAAAAGATTTTCCAATCAAATGGAACCAAGAAGCAAGCAGGCGTGGCTATCCTAATATCTAACAAGTTAGACTTCAAACCAAAATTAGTCAAAAGAGATGAAGGCGGTCATTTCGTATTCATCGCAGAAGAAATCCATGAAAACAAAGTCTCAGTTCTGAGCATCTATGCCCCAAATACAAAGGCACCCACACTGATAAAAGAAATGCTACTAAAACTCAAAGCTCATATAAAACCTCACACACTCATAATGGGAGACTTCAATACACCACTCTCAATACTAGACAGGACCACAAATCAGAAACTCAACAAAGAAACAAAAGAACTAACAGAAGTTATGTCTCAATTGGGGTTAACAGACATCTATAGAACATTCCATCCAAACACAAAAGAATATACCTTCTTCTCTGCTCCACATGGAACCTTCTCTAAAATCGACCACATACTAGGTGGCATAACAAACCTCAACAGATATAAGAGAATAGGAATAGTCCCCTGTACCTTATCGGACCACCATGCTTTAAAATTGGAATTCAACAACAACACAAATAGCAAAAATCCTGCAAACTCATGGAAACTGAACAATGTGCAATTGCACCACACCTGGGTCAAAGAAGAAATAAAGAAAGAAATTAAGGACTTTCTAATATTCAATGTGAATGAGGACACAAGATACCCGAACTTATGGGACACCTTGAAAGCAGTGCTACCAGGGAAGTTCATTGCACTAAGTGCCCATATGAAGAAAACAGAGGACAGTCACATAAGAGAATTAACAGCCTTAGAATAGAGAGAAGCAAACTCACCCCGTAGGAGTAGACGCCAGGAAATAATCAACTTGAGGGCTAAAATCAACAAAATAGAAACCAGGAAAACAATACAAAAAAACTCAATACAGGAAAGAATTGGTGTTTTAAGAAGATCAACAAGATAGACAAACCTTTATCCAAACTAACAAAAAAGCAGAGAGAGAACATGCAAATTAACAAAATCAGAAATGAAAAGGGGAACATAACAACGGACACAGAGGAAATCCAGAAAATTTTCAAGTCATACTTTGAAAACCTGTATTCCACAAAAATTGAAAATACAAAGGACAAATTTCTGAATAACTATCACTTACCAAAATTAAATCAAAAACAGACAAACAACTTAAATAGACCTATAACCCGCAATGAAATAAAAGCAGTTATCAAAAGCCTCCCAACCAGGAGCTAAGGGCCACTAGACTGATAGCTGGGAAACCAACAGGGGACTGACTCAGGCCCCCCGGAATATGGGTCTCAGCCAGAAGGTCTGAGACCTCAGACAGTGGAGCCAGGATGTATCCCTGGTGCACAAAAGGACTTTGCAAACATATCCCCCATGGAGGGATAACTGCCTTATTCTAGAGATAGGAGAGAAGCCCTAGTTCCTACTTCACAGGACCTGTCAGATCTACATGACCCCAACTGGATGGCATTCCCCTACATATGGTATTGTGGTGGGGGGTTGGGAGGGGAGGGTGTTTAGAGTGCATGTGAGAGGGCAGAGAGGGTAAAAGGGAGGGAAGGAGGGAGGGAGGGCTGGAGGGGAGGGAGGGAGGGAGGGAGAGGGAACTGGGATCGACATGTAAAATAATAAATTAAAAAAAAAAAAAAAAAAACGCTTTGACTCCAAAATTTAAGTTGAAGAACAAGTTACTGGGGAAAAGGATTTCTATTTTTGTTTCCACAGAAAATGAAAAGATGTGGATTCCTTCCAGACTAATGTGGTTTGATCACACCAGACCGCCTGAAACAGAGTACAAGCTGATCCTACATTCCAAACAGCTGGACAAAACAGCCCTACAGACTACAGCTAGGATATCTGAAACTTCTTCGAATCCCCCAAGACAGCACCCCTTACCAGCAGGAAGTAGTTTGGAAAGAACGACGCCCAAATTCCCAAATATTGTGTATAAATGTTTGTTTTCATTTAATTGGACTTTGTTATATAAAATTAAATAAAAAAATTATATATATAAAAAAAAAACAAAACAAAAGCCTCCCAACCAAAAAAAGTCCAAGGCCAGATGGATTCAGTGCAGAATTCTACCAGACATTCAAGGAAGAACTAATACCACTACTACTCAAACTCTTCCACAAAATAGAAACAGAAGGTTCACTGCAAAACTCTATTTTATGAGGCCACAATCACCTTGGTACCCAAGCCTCACAAAGACACAACTAAGAAAGAAAAGTACAGACCAATATCCCTGATGGACATTGATGCAAAAATACTCAATAAAATACTGGCAAACCGAATTCAAGAATACATCAGAGAAATCATGCCCCATGACCAAGTAGGCTTCATCCCTGGATTGCAGGGATGGTTTAACATATGAAAATCCATCAACGTGATCCACCATATAAACAAACAGAAAAAGGAAAATCATGATTATCTCCCTAGATGCGGAAAAAGCCTTCAACAAAATTCAACACCCTTTCATGATAAAGGCCTTGGAGAGTTCAGG